CAAAGCTAAAATGAGAATTACAAACTCCCAAATTATGTAATTTGTTTTCTGCTTTCATATTTATAAAAATAGTTTCATCAATTTCCCATGTTCCTATAAGTTGTGATAAGGGATGTTGATTTGTTGTTATTTTAAAGCAACATTGTATTTTACCATCAATTATATCTAAAACTGTACAAGAAGATAATGATAATGGTTCAGAAAAATTCTCAATTTGATAATTAATATCTTCATCTTTTAATCTTGTTATAACTGATTCTATTTCAAAATTTTCTTCAAAATCTATATCTTCTCAATTAATTTCATCATCATGATTATTTACTTCTAATAAATCTTTAGCTTTTTTAAAAGCTATTTCATTTCAGATAAATGGTAAAATTTCAGCATTATCATTAGTATTTTCTGTTGTATAGCTAGCAATAGTAGCAGTAGAACTTAAAGTATCATTATCTAATGATAGTATTTCTTCATTTTCATTTAGATTAAATTCAAAATCATTTTTCATTCATTAAAACATTTTTCCAAATATTATCAGTTTGTGAATAATAATGAAACATTTCAATTGTATAATAATGATAATGATAAAATGTTTTTTGTAAATATTTTTTAAATTGTAAAGTAGTAGCAAAATAAAATGTAATGTTATAAAACAAATATTACGAATACTTATTACTCACAATGTATTTAGCTAATCTTTATAAAGTTTTTTTTATCATGTCCTCATATGAAGAGCTTCAGAATGATATGTGTTTCATTTAAATCGGATCACTGGATATCAAGATAATTAATATAGTTTGAAATTTTATTTTTACCATTTTAATTTAGAATGATGCAAGTATTATTGCTCTTATTATTGCTATTTTATGATAAAAATAATGATAAATTTTAATTAATTTAATTATTAACGTTAATCTATACTGATATTATTTCATAAAGAATTTAAAATTTTACATTTTGTTAAAGGATGGTAAAGTTATTTTAATTGAATTTACATTTAAATTTATTTAGTTAAAAATTTACTATTGCTATTTTTTAATTTATTTAATTTCTATTTTAGTCAAGAATGACAAAATTACTTTAATTAGAGTTGTAAATTAAGTTCATAATCAAATTATATGATTTTTACAATTAAAATTTTTAGTGTAATTTTATATATTTTTTTATCAAAAATAAAAAGAATGTTTTTTACTAAACATCATAATATTTTTTATTTTATAATAAATATAATTGATTTGACATAAATAATAACTAAATTGATATTATTTAAGTTGTATAATTTAATAATATTTACTAAATAAGATAAAATTTTTATTTATTTGATTAAAATTTTAGAATAGAGATTATTTTTTTATATTTATAATATAGTAATAATAGTTCATAAAAGTCATCATATAAATTTTATTTAAATTTAATGATCAAAAATAAAAAATCAGGTATTTATTTAATTTAATTTTGATTAGTAAGTTAATTAAACTTCTCTTTCTCTAATTTTTTTCTTTAACTTTATATTAAGTTTGAAAAAAGTAAAATAAATCAAAAAAATAATAAAATTAGATTTGAGAGATAATATAAATTTGACTTCAAGTTTGTCAAAAGAAAAAAAAGTAATATTTGAAAGTATACTGAGAAATCTAAAGATGATGATAACATTTTATAAATTAAATGCAAATATTATGATAAAGGTATATATAATATAAATGGTTTAAAAGTATCAATTGAAAATTTAAAAAAACATCTTAAATTACATTTGAATAAAATAAAGATTTAGTTATAAAGCAAGCAAACTTTATGATTAAATTTTTAAATAATGTTAAATCAAAAAATATAAATTATATTGAACTTATTCAATTATTTTTAAAAAATTAAATTTTACTTTTTAAATATTTTATAAGCATTTTTTAAATAAAACTTTCTGTGAAAAGTTAGTTATATGTAAAGTTTTGAATGAGTTAAGCCAAATGTTAAGTCAAATGAGTTGAATCAAGTTAAGTCAAAAGAATTTTGATTCATTTAACTTGAATTAAGTTTTAAGTTAAACTTGACTCAACTTAAGATATCACAAACTAAACTTGAACTAAAGTTAAGCAAAACTCAAGTTTAAAGTTAAGCTAAACTCAAATAAATATTTATCAATTTTTTTTAAATAAAATATAAAAAATCATTTCAATAAAATAATATACATTATTTTATCAGAATGAATCTTTTATTATTCCTTTAAAATGATGATCTATCATTTTATCAGAATGATTCTTTTATTATTTTCTTTAGAATAATATTTTATCATTCTATCAAAATAATTTTTTTTATTGTTTTTTTAGAATAATTTTTTATTGTTCTTCAGAACAAATTGTTTATCACATCTTTATTTATTAAATATAACTTAATTCAAGTTGAGTTGAGATTTAAAAATTTTTTTTACTCAACTTAACTTGATTTAATTTTTTCAAATTGAGTTGAATTTGACAAAAACTTATTCAACTAACTTATTCAGAACTCTAATTATATGAATTACTATTGATGATCAGCTATTGTATATTAGATAATTAGATATAATTAAACTAACCAATTATTTAATTATTCAAATTATAAAATCAAAATCAGAAACAATATGATAAATTTTTAAGATTTAAAAAAATATTAAATTTAAATAAGAAATTGAGAATAATAAAAGATTTAACTAATTTAAAAATAATAAAAAAAATGAAAAAATATTTTGAAGTTTTTTAAAGACTTATTAGAGAAATTTTAAAAAATTTGAAGTAGAATCTAAAGACATTATTTAAAAATAGAACAATAGTATAGGTTTTACAATTAAAAAATTTTTTATTTATTTTTTTAAAATCAATAAAATTCTGAATAAATATATATATATATTATTTAATTTTTATTTAATATAAATATCAAAATTTTTAATATAATTAAAATATTTGGATATTTTTAAGATATTTTGAAATACTTTATAGGGGAAAACTGCCAGAAAAAAATAAAAAATGTGTTAATGATAAATTTGACTTTTCCTATAATTTTTAAAATTGATCCACAGAAATGATTTTATTATAGCACCATGACATCACGACTCTTGTATCACTACAAAGTGAACACTGGAAAAAAAAAAGAACTGGTTAATTATAAGATTTGAAATTCGGTTTATTTATAAACGGGAACAAATACTATTGGATGATTAGGGTTGCTGCGGATTTGCTAAAAAAACATAAATTCTGCTTTTATGCCGGGTTTTTCTTGTAAAGCAGAAATTTCGGGTCCCATTAATATGTGTTTCCATTCCAATAATGAGGAGCATAACGAAAAGGATATTGTTTCTGTGAGTTCGGATCAAATATCTAAGGATAAACCTTTTGACTCACAAGTAATAAAATGGATTTCGAGTGTACCCGAAAGTAGTTCAGCAACTTTAAAGACGCAAGATGCAGATTCTCAACTTTCTCATAGAAGTTGGACATCATTCATATTTACACCGCCAATAAAACATTTGATCGCAGGTGGTGTAGCGGGAGCAATAAGCAGAACAGTAGTCAGCCCTCTGGAAAGGATAAAAATTTTATTTCAAGTGCGTATAGTAACGTTTATATTAGCCCAACCCAATTTTTCAAAGTATTTAGATTTATTTGGACCATTCAATATTAGATTTTTTTTCTTTTTTTTTCTTTTTTTATATATACACGTATATAAATATTAGATACAAGGACCAGAGCCAGCTTCATATCGTGGAATAATACCCACAATTACAAAATTGTGGCGAGAAGAAGGTTGGATTGGTATGTTGAGAGGCAATGGCACAAATGTAATAAGGATTGTACCATATAGTGCCACACAATTTGCATCATATGAAAAGTATAAGAGGGTAGGATAGATATATTGATGACAAAATTCATTGAAGGACTTCAATCATCAAATTAATTTTCTTTTAATTTGTCTTTAGCTTCTTATAGAAGATGGAAAGAGTGAACTTGATGCACCACGTCGTCTTACAGCAGGTGCATTAGCCGGTATAACGTCTGTCGCATGTACGTATCCACTTGATATAGTACGCACCAGGCTTTCAGTACAATCGGCAAGTCTGTCCGTTAAAGAAATAAATAGTAAATTACCAGGTATCTGGCAAACGATGAAAGTTATTTATCATACGGAGGGTGGTGTCGTAGCATTATATCGTGGATTATCACCAACTCTGATGGTAAAATTTTATTTTAATTATTATACTGGATTTTACATGATTTTATTCTTTAAAGATTTACTTTGTGTTAATAGTTATAATGAACCGATTTTGTAGGGTGTGGCCCCATATGTAGCGTTAAATTTTCATTCCTATGAGGTATTACGTAAATATTTTACACCAAAAGATCAAACGTCACCGCCGGTTGCGCAAAAACTTATGTGTGGTGCCCTCGCAGGGACGTTTGCTCAAACGATAACATACCCTTTGGACGTATTGCGAAGAAGAATGCAAGTTACGGGGATGCCGGGTGTCCCATATAAATATAAAGGAACATGGGATGCATTGAATAAATTGATCGTTCAAGAGGGTGTTAAAGGATTATACAAGGGAATGGGTCCTAATTATTTAAAGGTTGCACCAGCGATTGGAGTGAGCTTTGTAACATACGAGGCGTGTAAGGAGTTAATGGGAGATGCATAATGAAAGAAAAAAAAAAAATTTTTCTAATCAAGACTATTCTTAATCTGTAAATAAGATGTGGGTTGGGAGTTATTTATTTAAATGAACTTTTATTTGATAATCATTAATTTTATTTAATTCTCAATTTTTGTCGTGGGTTAATTGGTCGTTACAATCAATTGTTATTCCATTATTCCATCATTTCGGAAAATTTAAATTAAAAATTTCACACGTTACATAATGTTTGTAGAATTACTAATTTGGATAAGATTTGTTTCGGTGATACCAAGCATTTGAAATTTGAAATAAATAGATCATTTTATTTTTAATAAAAAAAAATTCGTTTTTTTGAGATCTTTTGAAAATGTTTCGACTCAGTAGCATCACCAAAAGAACCCTTCATGGCATTCCAAGAACTTCGTTAACAGCCGGTAAATACATTTTCTTTTTGACAATCAAGAACTATTGAGAACTTGAATGTAAAAAAAATATTTTTAATATTTTGAATTCTAGGCCTACGACCAACTCTCTTTCCAGCAGTTTCCCAAATTTCCCGTAATTTTGCATCATTTCAACGTAATGCCATTGAACAAACTAATAATCCTAAAACGCCACCACCTTCAAGTCATGTCATTGAACATCCGATAACGCCACCGCCCTCAAAGATTCCAAAACATAAAGCGCCAACGATACTTGATAACACGGCAAATTTATTTTTAATAACTGAAATTTTAAGAGGCATGTGGTTGGTTCTTGAACAATTTTTTAGACCCCCTTATACTATTTTTTATCCTTATGAAAAAGGCGCATTGAGTCCTCGGTTTAGAGGGGAACATGCATTGAGAAGATATCCTACAGGTAAATATCAAATAATTAATTGATCGAGTTTATTTTGATTTATATTTTAATCTTTTCTTTAATATTAATTTAAGGTGAAGAAAGGTAAGCTTTATTGAATAATTAAGTTTATTTCTTAATTTTCTGTTAAAAATTAATTTATAATTTTTTTAGATGTATTGCATGTAAACTTTGCGAGGCAGTTTGTCCTGCGCTTGCAATTACTATTGAAGCTGAAGTTAGAGAAGATGGAAGTCGTCGTACAACCCGATATGACATTGACATGACAAAGTGCATGTAAGTAAATATTCTATCCATGTGATTATTTATAAAATCACTTTTTCTAATGTCATCATTTAATTTTCTTTGTAGTTATTGTGGATTTTGTCAGGTGATAAAAAATTTTTATTTTGTTCTTTTGGTTTAAATTGTTTTAGGTTAATTTCTAATTTTGTATTATAGGAAGCATGCCCTGTTGATGCAATTGTGGAAGGACCTAATTTCGAATATGCTACAGAGACACATGAAGAATTATTATATAATAAGGAGAAATTACTAGCAAATGGTGATAAATGGGAACCTGAGATTGCTAAAAATCTAGAAGCTAATCAATATTATACTTGAATTTAGTATTTATTTTTTGTTTTCAAGTAAAAAAATATTATTTTAATTTAAATTGATGGTTAAATAAAAAATATATAACTATGTGTAATAATAATTGACAAATATTATTCGATAATTTAATTAGTTTTTTTTTATCTGACAATTTTTTTTTATTTAAGATTAATATAATCGTACCTCAAAAATAACTTTAACAAAAGTGAATGTTTGCCTGATTAAACGCGTAAAGTAGTCTAAACATAAACAATTTCATTTAATATATATATTTTATTTTGATTTAGCGAAAAAAATACATACTTAAGAAAATCATCAATATCCAATTTCGAAGCTCTAGATTCTGCCATGTTGACTGATTTTAATACATTAATGACCTTTGCTTTTATATCTAAAGTATCTTCTATCATCTAGTTAAAAAAAAAAAATTGGTGAAACTTTCATGTATAATAAATTCGGGAAAAATTGAAGAAATAATAGAAATAAAATAATATTAACCATGTCATTTGTGGAACAAAATGTCTTGTAATTATTTTCAATTATCTGCAAAACCGAAGTAGTTTTAAAGTTTGCTGCCAGCATCTAATGAAAAGGATATATGTTAAAAATTCAAAAGAAATGTTTGATAGTAGTATTTTATGGTAGAAACCTTGTTTTTCCTAACAAACACAATCCTCATTAGTCCATCCCATTCTTTGAAATCAATCGGCGGCGGAGGATTACGTGGTTCGATTCGAACTACTGATGATTCAACTTGTGGTGGAGGCTTGAAATTATTTCTTCCAACCTGTTGCAAATAAAATCCATAAAAACCAATTCAAATCATTTAAAATTATTAAGGTCTTATAAATACCTTCATTATATGATTTACTTTTGCATATAATTGTACGTTTACACTTAACCTACAATATAAATTATCTCCAGGTTTGGCTATTAGTCTCATAGCGAATTCGCGTTGAAACATCAATATGGCACATCGAAATAATGGTCGATGCTCAAGAAGTTTAAATATAAGTGGCGATGAAATCTAAAAAATAATGATATATTTTTAATTAAAAATTATAACAATAAAAATTAAAAATACCATTTCGTTTTAATCATACCTGATAAGGTGTATTACTTATACAAACATCAAAATATGGTAAATCCGTTTTAAGAAAATCTCCAACCATTATATTCAATCGTTTTTGTTCGGGTCTTTATAAATAAAACAAATTAATTAGTTGAAATTATTCAATGCGCATGATTTCGAGATTTCAAAATTTCGAATGACGTACTTTCCCTGAACACGTTTGGCCAATTCAGCGGATAATCTTGGGTCCATTTCTACAGCAATAACTTTTTTTGCTGTTTCTAAAATTCGAACCGTTAAATTTCCTGTACCAGGACCTACTTCAAGTACTGTATCTGTACTTTTTAAGCCTGCCTTTAAGGTATTCGTTAAAGGAAAAAAATGATAAATGTTCCTAATATACAAAAAAAAAAAAAAAAAAAAAAATGTGAAAAATACCTTTTCGATTATTCCTTGGGCGACAAGTGGGTTCTTTAAAATATGTTGACCTAAATCTTTATTAAATAAAGGTGCAAGAGAACGACCTACTTCAGAGCTTTTATTACCAAGAGAGCCTTTTCCAACATTTTTTACTTGACGTTCATGAGAATAACCAAATTTTTGAGACTTGACTTTTGGCATTTTTGTAAAAAATGCGATGAGATGAGATCGTACAACGGATAAAAATTTTACTCATCAGAACAGTGTGCTGCGCAAAAAAATTTTTTTTACACAATATTGATATGATTTACTAATGTGCAGCATAATGGTACAGGTGCGACCGTCCCATATAAGGAAACTGGTTACACAATTTATTAAAAAATTTTTTTATACGTTTTATAGTACTTTTTCGAGTGGCTTTTGTTGCCGATCTTTGCAATGAAACATGAATTATAATTATAACTCAAATTGAAGCTTTCGCACTAAAGCATAATACTATCCGTTGAATCCTCTTGAATCCCACACCTTTTATATTACTATTTGCCCAGCTAAAATATGTCTGAAAGGAAGGAATGTATAGAATGTCAAACCACCGAGTCAACTAAATTCCGATCGGTAAATGGAAAAAAATGGAGAGAAGCTAAGAGTAAAGACTTAGTAAAGGTAATATGGGTAGAAAGTGTTGTTTTATGTAATAGTTGCTATATGCGTTTTGTAGAGAATCCATTAAAAAGAAGTCCTAAACGAGTTAAAGTCACAACTGAGAAAGAAATAGAAGTCACAATTGAGGATGAGGAAAGTATGAAGATTGATTTTACCGGAGCTATCAAGTCTATGGCCAAAATTCTATATGATAGAGAACATTTGAATAGAGAAGATACAATATATGGGTTTAATGAAATGCGAAAATTACTTTAAGAAAGAGATCTGAGTCTAAAGGATTTCTTTGATCAGCTTTATTCAGCAGCTCGGCCATGCGAACGTAATGAGCAAACGATGGATCGTATGAAAAAATTAATAGTGTTCATATGTTATGTTCTTGCTTTATTAAATAATATGAAAATTAATTGTTTCAAGTTTGATCTTGCATATTATTTAGATTTGGTAGGTACGAGCAACAAAGGTCTAAATACGATGGCAAATCTTGGCATGACTACCACAGCAAGAGCAGTAGATCGTAGGATGGAAAATATGTAAATGATGCCTTCGTAAAATATTTGGAAAAAGCCTTTGTGTTGAATGTTGACAATTATCACAACATCTATACTCAAAGGCGACCAGATACTACAAGTACATCTTGGGTGGCGCACATTGCAACGATTATAGCGAATCCATACTTCACTCTAGCAATACGATGTAATGGAGTAATCAATCCAAAGATCATTGATAATGAATTGATTGAAAAGCATCTCGATAAACGGTTTATTGCAAACCTCAGAATTTCTTATCAGAATCGTATTCATATGCGGGATCATGCAGGATATGAATGCTCTGATAATGATCTCATAGATAGACTAATATTGCATAATTACAATGACCGGTTAGCGGAGAAAAAGAATGGGAGGCATATACAGAATACCATTCTCGTTGATTTTGTTGAAAGTAATTTAAAAGGTGTAGATGACTATATGAAAGCTCTTCAAATAGTTTATGATCAAGACCCGATGCAAGAGTACCTTTCCAATCATGTAATACCTGTCATTGCAGACTGGCCTGGTCAACTCTTTATTCAAAAAGCTATTGCACAACGGCTTCTTGTCAATAACGAAACCATTCCTCCGTTTGTTATGGCATTTGTGCCTATGATGGGTCCTCTTCATGTTTCTTTAAACACCACGAACTCATTTTTTTGAAAAATTCATTTTTATTCAATGATGTTTATAAAGGCATATTTGATACACGTAAGGATCTTGGCAAGAAACCTCAACCATGGAGAATCAATTTGATTCTTCATATTATACGCGTTGCATGGGATGATATCAGTAATTCTGTCTATTTGAAATTTGGCCATACATGCAAGAACGTTGAATTTTGTATTTAACTGATCTTTTCAGCAATTTGGTTCCTTTAGTTCTTGACGTTTATGCAGTGCACCATCGAGAAGGGAATTGGTCAGCTTATGAAGAAACATGTATATGTTGTTAGAGTGATCTTTTTCTTCAGTTTGACTGAAGAAATTATAAGCGAGCTCTTTTAATGTTCTTCTCTGATATTTTTTATTGGATGGAAACTAATAATCCGATGATTAACATGATTACTAATAATCTTACTTCACTAAATAATTATCCTATAGAAATCGTAAATAGCATTATTCGATGTTGTACTACCAAATTTTCTATGGCTGCACAATTACAAAAGGAGGCACATTTTATTTTTCAGTATCGAGAGGATAATACTTTTTGACAACATTTTGTAAATTCAGTGAAATATCCATATACACCAAAACAATTGCACATGCTTTCAAAGAAATGTGCAATAGTGCTTTTAAACATATTCATGAAAATATATCAAGCACGTGACCAGTATCCTTTAATTATTAAATCTTCATCTGATGGTATTAACACATATAAACTTCCTTCATTAGGTTACGA